CCACATCGTACCTCTGTGGCACCGGGGCAGTCTCCTGGACACATCTGACCAGAGTCTTGCCTTGTGCACAGCACAGATTGTTCATGCTAGGCTGCGAAGTGGCAGCCCCCAATGCCTACTGTACTAAATACAGTAATGGCTTGAATAAGGAACTGACTTCTGGTCTGAGGTTATGATTGGGAATCCTTTTTGGGCCACTCCACCCCATGTTGCTGTGCCACCGTGGGACTCTGGCCATGCTTTGGCCGTGCCAGGCTGCCAACCGACAGCACCTCAACCACTGTTCTAAGTATAATGGCTCAAATAAGGAACTGGTTTCGGGCTTGGGTAATGCCTGGAAATCCTTCTTGGGTCACCCTACACCATGCCTCTGTGGCACAGGGGGACTCTCCTGGACATCTCTGGCAAGGGTCTTTCCTGGCCCAAAGCGCAGTTTGTGTATACCAGGCTGCCAACTGACAGTTCCCCCATGCCCGCTGTACTGAGTATATGGGCTCAAATAAGGAACCAGTTTTGGCTGGGTTTATGGTTGGAAATCTATTTTGGGCCACCCCACATCATGCCTCTATACCACCAAGGGACTCTCCTGGACATCTCTGACTAGATCGTCTTGCCCGGCCCAAACCACGGCTTGGCCGTGCCAAGCTGCCAGCTGACAGACCCCTCCTCCCCTCCCCTGCTTCCCACTGTACTGAGTATATGGGCTGAAGTGCGGAATTAGCTTTTGGGCTGGGATTATGGAAGGAAATCTATTTTGAGCCACCCCACACCATGACTCTTTGGCACCAGGGGACTCTCTTGGACATACCTGACCAGAGTCTCACCTGACCCAAAACGTGATTTTTTGGTGCCAGCCTGCCAACTGACAGCCCCGCATACCCACTGTACTAAGTATAATGGCTCAAATAAGGAACTGGCTCTTGGGCTAAGATTATGTCTGGAAATCCAGGTTGGACCATTCCATGTCATGCCTCCGTGGCACTCTCCTGGACATCTCTGACCTTAGTCTTTCCTGGCCCAAAGTACAGTTAGGCCTTGCCAGGCTGCCAGCTGACAGCCCCACAAGCCATTGTACTAAATATAATGACTTGAATAAGGAACAGTTTGGGGGCTGGGATTAGAGATGGAAATGCTTCTTAGACCACCCTACACCCAGAGATGTGGGGCGGAAAATTTTCCAGTGCTTTATTTTCTGTGGGAAATTTTCTATTTTAAAAAATTCATTGTTTCATAAAATTCATTAGTAAAAATGGATGGATGCCAATACAATATTAGGCAAGCTTGGCAGTTTCAAAGTTGTAATTAATGTTTTTCAGGTGATTATCCCTAGGAATTGTGTGAGAGTACACCTATGTTTTATTGATTTGTAAACAGGAGCGTAAATACACTCACATAATAATCCAAACCAAAAATCAAGTTATGAATTCACCTAATTGGCTGTGTACGTCAAATAAAAACCAAAGCTAAAATTCTTATTTCATCTCAGACTGCAAGTGAAAGCAAAACCAAAACTGTGATTAATTTTTGTTTCTTTTTTAGTTCAGCAAACACACAGAGCAGTCTCTCATTTCTTTTCTTGAGTTGGGGAAGTTGGAAGTGTTTGCATAAGATCTGTTAGGTTTTTTTTTAGTTCTTTTGGTTTGAAGTAGTCATAATAATGCCTAACCCCCCCAAAAAACAACTGGTGTGTGGCATCATTATAGTGAAGTTCAAGCCACTGAAGAAAGGAAGGAAGTTGGTAGATGTAAATATTAAGGGCAGGAGTATGCTAACAATGCAGCAAGAATGAAGAAACATTTAATAACATGTAGAAACAGCCCTGAAAGAGTACAAGCCACATACAGAAAGCACAATGAAGTGGTGGAAAAACATCATCTGAGAAAAGTCTACTTCAGGAATCCTATGTAAGTAAACAAATTAATATGATAAATAACATACAGTATAGACTAACATCTATATTGTTTTAAAACATAATTTTAAAAGTTGTTGATGCAACTTTGGGCTATTTATTTAAAATATTTGTATCCTGCTTTTCTGCTTGCACTAAGCACCCAAAGTGGCTTACGTTTAACAATAATTTTTTTAAAAATTACATAATAGATAAATAGTTAACTATTTTAACCCAGCCAAGCAAGCTTAGCCCTCTAGCTGATGGCAGAGCCAGACTATACTTCCCTCTGGCTCTGTGGTCCCAGGGCAACTGAGCAGCAAGGTGAGCAGCGGAGTGTTCTTTCTGGCAGGGATGTGGGAAGCAAGCTCCCTGCCACTTCTCCTCCTTCTGATGGATGAGGCCAGACCAGAATAGGCTAAAATAATATTTTTCTCCCTTTTGTTGCAGGAACTTGGTAGCTCAAGTGAAATAGTAGATTCGCAAAAAATGGAAAACAAAAATGTTGAGCTGCCAGGTCTGGGGGAAGAAGCAGCAGGATCCTCGCTTTCAAGATCACTGTCACCAGATATGCGATCCACCACGAGTAGCTGTTCAAAATAGTCAAGCTTTTTATCAAAGTTTGTGGACCAAATGTCAAAAGGACATCAAGAAAAAGTAGATGAGACATTAGCTCGAGCTATATTTGCAAGTGGTATACCTCTTTCCATAACTGAAAATCAATAGTGGAAGGAACATTAGAAACTAATTTGCCACTGCCACATTATTGCTTATCACATTCTCTCTTGAATAGAGAGTATGACTGAGTTCAAACAATGGTTATTCAAAGGATTGGTCAAGCAGAATCACTGACTCTGATGTCAGATGGATGGACTGATATACAAGGAAATCCTTTATTGAACATTATGTTAGCAACACCTGAGCCAATATTCCCAAAAGCAATTGCTACCAAATCTTCTCATCACACAGGTGTATACAGGCTATGTCCTTTGTCAGAAGATTCAACCCATGAGCAAGACAGCCAAATACATTAAATGAGGATAGTTTGCCTTTAATATTTGCCATGCAGCTTTCATGTTACTCACATTATCAGATACAAGGGCTTGTACCCTGGAGGGGCCTGCACTTTCAATCTCTTCACTCATAGCCAAATTTAATAATTTGATTTCACCTCAAGACAGAAAGGAGAAATAGACTAACAAATGAATGCACTGCTAAGCTTGTTTCTGTTTCTCAAAATCTCTTGCTTCTGGAGAATCAGTCAGAAGCACAATTAGTGAAGAAGATGCAGTGGGATGAAAAGCTGCCCTGGCCCATAGACTCATTGGTAAAACGATCCTTTAGCGAAAGAGAATGTGGTTCAAGTAGTTTTGAATTAGATTTGCCTCAGTCTGATTCTGTGATGGAACTGATAAGTGCGAGTGATTCTACAGACAGTGACAGTGAAACTGGAGGTGCCGCAATGACCTCAGTGGAAGAGAGTTAAACTCTGTTGAAGTAAATGAATGGACAACCATGATATATCATGCACAGTTCTTTGGGTGTACTAAAATTGGTGTGTCAACAGTTTTCAGTGCTTTGGGTTTTTTTTCTTAAATTTAAACAATGTAAGGAAAGTACATGCTATTGTGTATTCTCTTTATGTTTTTACAAGTATTACAGTAAAAATAATTTATTTCCACATAAAGCTTTGAATTTGTTTGGATATAACATTTAAACCACATTAAGTGTGCTGTATTCAATTTTGTTCGTAATCAGATACTTCAAATACTTTTGGCTACTGGGACATAAAATGAACATGGGGGTACTTTTTTAGTTTTGTTTACTAAATATAAGTGAAATAAACATGCTAAATCAGATCATGCTTTATTTAGGGCATTGGTACATTTTCCAGAAAACCCACATCTTTGGTAGTTTTGAGCTTCTTTATTGCACTTAATGTTAGACTTGTAACACAAATGATTTCTAAGCCTAGTTTTATTTTCTGGGTGTGTATGTAGATTAATATATTAAGTGCAGAGCTTAGTTGCTGATGCCGAGACTACTTTATCCTGTTTTGTCAGAGAGGCTCTCTCATGTTGCTAGGACGTGGATGAAGTGTCTGTAGCATGAACATGTCATATCTTTTAAACTGTTCTACTTCACAGTGGTCACATGCTGCGCAAGCCACAGGCTGCACCCGCAAGGGCCACATGTTGCTTATGCACAACGGTGAGCTACAGGTGCCTGATCCATTTGCCACGCAGATGCCCTTGTCACTGCAGTACATCCCACACAGGCACCCCTGCCCCCACTGCTGCACTGCACAGGCACTTCCTCATCCATCCCTTCCTTTTCCTCCTCCACCACTGCACCACACACCCATGTGGGCACCCCTTCCGCCACTGCACTCTGCACCTGCACAGCCTAGATCCTCCCTGCACATCTGCCTGCGCACTATTCCCATGTCCAAGGGCAGGAAGCAGCTGCTGGGGACAGAGAAGATTGCAGTGTGTTTTACATATTTAGCAGTAATGGGAAAGAATAGTAAGGAAAAATAACTGGAAGAAGGTTACATTGTAGATAGTTGAAGGACAAAGCCTTGGCTGGGATAAGCTAGTTGGGGCTGGTTCTGCTTTGAGCAGGGGGTTGGATTAGACGTGGCCAACTGAGGTCCCTCCCAACCCTCATTTTCTATAACCCAGCAGAGGAGGTGCCTAGGGGCCTGCTGTCTGGGGAAGGCAGCCCCAGGTGCCCCTGCCTGCCTCCTGTTTCCACTCTGGACAAGACATTATTGCAGTAGACATTGTACATTGCAAGATCTTGTGTTCATCCAAGTTCTGCAAGTAAGAAAACAGGGTTTCTTTCTTAATGCCACATCTTCTTCTTTATATATTTAGCTAATTATCTTCAAGAAAGCAGTTTCTTTATGGTTTATGCAATATCCATGGAAATAGTATTCTTAACTGTCCTGAAACTGCTGAGCCTGCCATAATGTACATACATTCTTTACCAATGTTGTGTGTTTGTTTTAATCATAGACAAGAAGAGCGTGTGGTTTCTGCTCTACGTAACGAGACTGGCTACGTAGACCTAAAGTAGATCAGCACACTTGTGGGTTTTTAAAGCTTTTCACTGAAGACTTTTGAGTTGCAGACAGAAGAAATGGATCTTGCAAATGAAGATGCAATGCCGAATACTATGTTTGATTGGGACTATCTTCTGTGGGAAGTTCGTTTATTTTTAGTAGTACTTGGCTTTTTCTTCTACTTAGGTGTGTTTCTTCTGTCTCACTTGTTGTCCTCATGGATCAGTGTCACCTACCGTACCTTTTCATCAAAGGAGAAAGTCTTCTGGAACATAAAAGTCACACGTGGTGTTTTTGGACTTCAGAGTTGGGTTTCTGGCTTGTGGGCCTTACTCATAGATCCTGTTTTTCAAGCTGACAAAGTATATTCCCAGCAGAAATGGAGCTGGTTTACCTGTTTAATAGCATCTGGATTCTTCTTACTTGAAAATGTAGCTGTTCATTTGTCTAACTTTATTTTCAAGACATTTGATGCATTTGTAGTAGTACATCATTTCCTTGCCTTTGTTGGCTTGCTTGGTCTGATACTTAACACCAAGTCTGGACACTACCTACCCTTGATGGGCATGCTACTTGAGATGAGTACTCCGACCACCTGCATCTCCTGGCTGCTTTTAAAGGTAAGATTTGATCATTGCCTTGTGTTCATTAGTTAAAATAGAAATTGCCCTTGTAATCCAGATGTTGCCTGTTCCCCTTATACAAACCCACAAGCAAAGAAATACTAGCCTCCAAATCGGAAGATTACTTCTAGGATTGAGAGGGAATTTTTCTTTGAAATTGGGAGTGAATCAAACCATATTGAATTTAAGCCCCTGAAAAGTAGTTAAATAGGGCTAAAGTCAGCAAGAGTTAAATCCCTGCAAGTAAGGCACTACAATGCGTAATTTGCAGGCACCAGGCTGCTGGAGTTGAATCCAGAATCTGGAGTTAGGTGTCCTGACTCCTTTTGCAATGCATGAAGAGATAGGTGCCTCAGAGTGGCAATTCCAAAAGCTCATTTTTAAGTGACTAGTTCTAGGTAGAGATGTAAAATTTCCAGAAATGTTGAAGCCATGGGAAAAAAATGTTTTTTTCCCCAATTTTTTTTGAAAAATTGAAATATATCCAGTACTTATTTTCTTACCACCCTTTGCAGATCTAAATTCACTTTGTTAGTTTAAGAACATAAAATGTATTATGTATAACTTGGTTTGCTCATAAAATTATCGTGTTTGGTGTATTTATTAAATTTAAAAGTATAGTTTATTCAGACAATAATTATAAATTTACTAATTTAATTTACTTTAAAATGTTTTTAATTTTTGTTACAAATGAAGCTACAGGCTGCTGAACTGTAAGGAACCTAGCATCTCTTAGTTTTTGCCATTTTAAGAGAGGCAGGCAAAAATTAAAGTTGAAAAGGTAAGAAACTGTTAACCTGGTAGTGAAACAGAGAAAGTTAATATGTATTCTGGACTTAGTCTCTGTCATATTGAATGAAATAGTTTGAATGTTTGTAAAGATTGCCCATTAGCCAGTTTCAGGAAGAAGATAGGATCTATCTCCTTATCTAGCTCAATTAAGGTTTTAGGCGAAGTCAGGACATTTCGCACGTAGCTCCAAAACAATGAGCTAGATAAGGAGATAGATCCTATCTTCTTCCTGAAACTGGCTAATGGGCAATCTTTACAAACATTCAAACTATTTCATTCAATATGACAAGTAAGATCCGAGCCCAAATTTGGGAGTAGTGACAAGTTGAGTAGGAGGAGCCCACTGACGTCAGCTCGCTCAATAAAATGTGTAACTTCCTGTCCCAATTTGGAGGTGACTTCACTTGCAGAACAACGAAGGAAGAATCGCAAGTATAAGTTCAGATTAGATTGATCGCCTAATCAAGCCTCTCCGTGAACATGAATCTCTTAGTTCACGCTGAAGCCGCGGAGCGCCCGAAAGGGACTGAAGGAAGGGGACGTAGTCCTATCACTGGTGAGCCCAGCTCATTGAATCGTATTGCTGAGGCCAGCCTATTGAACCGTACTACTGAGGCCAACCCATTAAATCGTACTACTGAGGAATGAAACCATATTTTGGTATTTGGCTTCTCGGAATTCTAGGATTGTAAGTATATTATGAAAAATAACAGTATTGATTCAAATTTAACTTTTAGTTGTAATTGTAGTTGTTTTTGTAACACTAATTCTTATAGCATTGTTTGGGAAGGAAGTGCATTTGGAGCATTGTTTCTGATATATGTAATTATTGTGTTTTTAATGTTTGTGGTGTTTCTTAAAGCTAAGCAGTGTTATATACGTAGTAAAGAGTTTTAAAATAAAATTGTGTTGTATAAATTAAGTGTGTAATCATTGTGAAATCGTGCAATCAGCTAACTACTCCCCCAGCCAGTGCATCAAAACGAATCAGTAAATTGTGTGGGATTTTCTCTATTCCATAACCCACTAGAGACAGTCTCCTCCACCGTGTCAAGCAGATACAGAAAGCACTGATTTTTAGAGGAAGAGCTGAGAAAAAGGGAAAAAAACTCCAAGACTCATTGAATACAAATTTGCTACATGAAACTTTATTTCCACCGTGTCAAGCAGATACAGAAAGCACTGATTTTTAGAGGAAGAGCTGAGAAAAAGGGAAAAAAACTCCAAGACTCATTGAATACAAATTTGCTACATGAAACTTTATTTAATCAGTCCCATTTTCTGAGCTATCACTATCAGCAGTTTCTGCTTCTTCTGATCCTTCATTTTTATCATCTTCATGGACTTCTGAAAACTGAAGATTTTCCCAGACTGAGACAAGCTTCTTTACTCTTTCACATGTTAGTTTATTTCTTAATATAGCGTGAGTATACCCAAACATAGACCAGTTTCTTTCACATGCTGCAGAAGATGGAGGAATCTGAAGCAGGTGAGAAGCAAGAGGAGTCAGAGGCAGTGTCGTATAAAGGCCTTGCCACCATGTTGCAGGAGGGATATACTTGGCAGAATTCCAGACTGCATTCCTGGACCAAATACCTGAAGATGTTCTGTAATCTGCAACATTTGAAAGTACCTTTCCAACATCAAGTCCTAAGTGTGTTGCTTGTTTTGTAATCCAGCCAAATAGTAGCAGTGCTATCATCACTAACATTTCTGCTTTTGAATCTTGGATCCAAGAGATTTGCAGCAGCATGGGCAATTATTTTCCTGATTTTCAGGTGTCATCTTGTCTACAAATGAAGCTACTAAGAGTCTTTTGTATACAGTTGGTTGCAGTATTGGGTTACTTGAGGCTGTTGATTGAGACACCTTTGCGATGCTGATGTTATAGAAGAAGACACAGCAGCAGCGGTAGGAGGACTTCTGGATCAAGAATGTTGGAAAGAGCTACCTGCATTTTCATCATCATGATCTACCTCCTCACTTACACCCATGAAGGATTTTTTTAATGTCTGCAGGACACTCCTTACATAAAAGGATGTGTTTGGTCATCCTAGTAGGATTTGAAAACACATATTTCATTTGACAGTATTTGCAAGTCACATTTTTTTTCTCAGAATAACTTTCAGTGTGGAAATGCTTCCATATGCTAGAAGTTGGTTGCACGATTTTGCTGAGGGAGAACAAAGACGCATGTAATTTAGTGGCTAGTTTGCGTATATAAACACTAAGCTACAGCATGTACACATTTAGTAATGGATGGAGGAGAGGCCTCCTCAGTTAACTGTGAAGAACTTCCCTGCCCTGCAGGCCTCACCTCACTGCTAAGTGTTACCAGATTTGCCCATCACCTTGGGGTGTGCTCATTTATTAGGGATACATTTCTACGGTCTTTGTAATTCTACCAATGTGCTGCTTGTGTTACTTGTGTTTCTGTACAGAGCTGTATCTCTCCCTTCTGCAAGCCCTCACTCCCAATGGAGCTATCTTGCAGGACTCAGTCTCAATGGGGCTGGGTTCCTCCAGTCACCAAATCAGTCATCCACACAAACACACACAAATTAATGTGACATGCCTGACCCAGCCGGGTTGATCAGCATGGACAGGCTGACACCTTCATATACCAATAATCAGTTCATCAGAGCAACATTAAACTGCAGTCAGACACAAGCACACAGGTAAACAGAATACCTCTGAATCCGGCTGGGTGTCCAGCTGACACCCTCAAGGGCCAGCATTCAGTTCATTAGGGCACGTGAGAGCCAAACTGGGTCAATCAGCCTGTACAAGCTGATCCCCTTATGTGTTTCAAACTCAGTACGTCCCAATCTTTAGGCTCTTGATGAGCACACCCCACAGTATTTTTGGGCTTCACAGGGATCTTTAGCTTAGGTAAAAGAAGTGTTGCTGCAGAGCAAGTGGGGAAGGAGAAGTAGAGAAGGAAAAATATACCCAGTTACTAGTTACCTATTGCTGAGTATATGAAATATATAATGGTACTAGTAGTAATAGACATGCAAAAGAAAAACAAACACAAACAATTACAGTACTACCCTGGTTTCACTAAGTATTTGGGGAAACTTAGCTCAAGCTTAACTAATACAGTTCAGGTT